AATAAGTTCGTTCCAAACTGACATCTCTGGACACCAACATTCGGCCCATCGCAAATTATAAACTTTTCTTGCTTCTAGCCATATCAACAACAACGCCGTCGTATTATTACAATTAGAAAAACATTTGTGTCATGCAAAAATTTATGAGTTACCGATTTTTCTTTTTTTGAATTAAATAGTTCATTTTATTAATATTTAAAAACAAGAATGCTGGCAGTCTTGTGTTTTTTGAGTTTCAATTTGTAACATCCCTATCTCCAGCCAATTTAATTAACATACGTATAATAGTTAAACATGTATAAGCGGTCGAGCCAATTTAATTAATATACATATGATAGTTAAACATGTATAAGCGGAAGTCTTACTTAATCTTTCAACTCGATTAGCGGAAGTACGAGCTCATTTTTCTTTTCTTTTTCTTTCCTTTTAATTAACATGATATATACGTAATCAATGACCATAGTCAAAGATCACCTACCATAATGATATGACCACAAGTGTCATTCTACGCGGAGTCTCAAATCGAACAGAGTTCCGTTTGTTTCTCGGATAAACGGGGATATAATCTCACTCTCATAATGTCCTGATAAGCACATGCATCATAATATATCAGATATATATCACATATTACTATAAAATCCATCCATGGGCGCATCACATGCATACAAGGCTCCGTGCCTCTAAAACTAACAGCATGCAATAATCACATATCAGAATATACCTCATCTCATAATAATGTCTGAATACTAAAATGTACATGCATCAAAAGCGGAAAACATGTACAACACATATACAAGCCATATACATAACTCTGGATCAGACATCATGATCCCTAAATAAATAGAGCACAAATACAACAATACATGCTCTCCAAAAATAACATCTACGATAAATAGTAGCCTCCGGCTATCCAAAACTCCACATCCTCATGCTAGCATCTCTAGCCATGGGTAGGGTCCTTGCCCTGTGAAGGCTCTCCAGTACCTAAAATCATATCCCCAAACGGGGTAAGAGATGAATCTCCAGTAAGCTCAAGGTTTATAGAGAACACTCCATTTCCTGGGCCCACTTCCTGCATGACAGTTAGATAAATAATATACAAAACATCATATATCATATTATATTGAACATATCTCATATCACATCTCTGAAGCACGCAGTCATTCCCCAAGGGCATCTCTCAAAGTGGAAATCAACACACTTATTCCCAACGGTCTCTCCCCTACATGAGTTGATGCATACTGATTCAATGGCCAAGAATTATCATACATATCACATAAAACATGTCATATCACATCATCATATAGCTTTATATGAATGCATCTATATCACATATCTCATACATATCATACAATCCGACCATAGTCCGTACACTATGGCGAAACACAAAGTAGGAACGAGTCCCTTAAACATAGAACTTACCTCTTGAAGCTGTATAAATGGCCTACCTGAAACACGAGTTACCTAGCCTCCTCTGATGTAGGATCCTTAACAAGACTCTTAGGCACACCTAGAATAGAGAATCCACAGAAATATCAATAAAATGGTTTAAAGCCAAGTAATTAACCAGACACACCATTTATTGATATCCTCTTTTACTTATCAATTCTTATGCCAATATTATGTCATACACACAAGTCATAGCCGATTTTCTTTTAACTTAACCATATTAGGCCATGGGTGGTGGTTCTTTGTTCAATAGATCCCCACATAATTTCACACATTTACCTAGTCTTAGGATAGTCTCAAAAGGCTTTTAGAATACTCATAACTCCTCTTAGCACCTTAAAGCATATTTTTCCTAATTTAAGGAAGAGTGCAAATTACAAATGAGCTATAAGATTTCTCTTTGTCTAGTGCCTAAACCCAAGCTTAGACACCTATATAAATTATTTTACGCATAAAAGTGTTCTCACTTTGCGAAACAGTATCTCTGAACGTATACCTCCTTTGAAAATGGTCAAAACTCATTTTAAGGCCATACAAAGGAGTTACCTTATTTTGTTTTTTCTTTCATCAAAACGAAGGTTCACACACCTTAGAACATTATTCTACGTATAAAAGTGTGCTCGCTTTGCAAAACAGTAACTCCTAGCACACACCTCCTTTGAAAATGGCCATATTCACATACAAGGCCCAAAGAAGGAACTTATTCATTTTTCTTTTTATCTAACCCAACCAAAAGTTTAAACATCTAATCTATAGTCCTTATACCGTATAAGTGCTCACTAGCACAAATAGTCACTCTTAAAACATACTTCCTTCGTAAATGGCTAAGAGGCACATAAAGGAAACCATGTCAATTTCATGATTTCAATGCTTTACTCCATCAAATTCAAGCTTATCATACACATATGATTACCATTTTTACATCACATTTCCATACCCCTTTCGAAATGTCTGGTGTAGGTTTTCTACAAGTTCCAACTTATTTTTCATTCATACCAACATACATTTTACACCTACGCTCATCAAAATTCAAATGATACACATCATTTTTCTCTCAAGCATTTCCCCAAACACCTTACTTACACCATTTTGCCTAGGGTTTACATGTGCATTTTGCATTTACCACTCCATCCATTTAGGTTTTTCCAACCAAATCATCACAACAACAACAAACATCAATAATACCATCATCAATCATCAATAAATCCTCCAATACATTAACTCACATCAACCTCCATAAATGCCATAACATTGAATGAAAACTAACTCAAAACCCTAGTAAATACTTATAGGAATTTAGGTATCCTACTTCAAACCGGTTCACAAGCCACCAAGGATCATTCTTCAAGCATCAAAGCACCAACAAAACATCATTTTTTCTTCAGCATGAATAGTAACTCACAGCCTTGGAGGGGATTTTTTTTGAAGTTGAAGGCTACCCAAGAAGATCCAAGTGGTAGGTTAAGGTGACTAGCTGAGGAGGTGATTTGGAACAAGTTTTGTGAGATGTGTTTTTGGCAAAAGATGACTAATAATGGAAGAATCAAACTTCCCTCCATCTCCAATAGAGCTCACGGTTGGCGGCAGAGAAAAGGAGAGAGAGAGCGACGGTGGGAGAGGAAAATGTAACTTAAGTGACTTTAAGTGGTTTCTAATTAATCACACTTTCTTGAAACTAATTTCCATTTGATTTTTCCACTAATTAATCCAACTTGAAACTTAATTTTTACTAACTTGATTTTTATTTCCATTACATACATTTATTTTTCCTAACGAATAATATCGGCAACTCACAGTAGAGTTTGAGTATACTATGAATCACTAATAGTACCTTAATTGCACAAAATTCATAAAATTTCTAAAAATATTATCTTTGGTTCTCACATGATTTGTTTGGCATATATTGGGCTTTCACATATTTTTCATATAATTTTCTCATTTCTGAGTTCTACCGTTAGCTTTTACAGCAGTGCAAAATATCGGGTAGAAGTCACTATTCATGACCTAGTCATGATTATAGTCAAAACACTCGAAATCACGTTCTGAATCTAATTATGACATTTAAATCCTTAAATTAAATCTCTAACTAAAATTTACCAGTTGGGGTCATTATACAATTCACTAATCATAACAATTGTTTTTAGGGAAAAATGTTTATTAATTAAAAGGATGGTCCTTTTAGATGAATGTAGTGTTTTTTTTTTAAATTTTAAATTACAAACTTTTTCCTCCACTCTCCCCCCATAGTTTGTTCCTTTACCTCTCTTAAAAGGATATAAGTGTGTGTCCTTTAAAAGGACACACACTTTTCCCTTGTTTTTAAGAAAGAAGATAAAATATAAATGGTTTTAGTAAAGAAGAAATATCTAAGTTTTTTTTTTTAAATTTTAGGGTTTAGGTATAGTTGATTTTTCAAGTGAAATAATTTTTTTGTTTAAAATGCAATATTTGATATTGGATATTTTTTGGTCTTTTAGATCATAAGATTTATTTATTTTTTATAAATATGGAAAATGATATTGTAACAACCAATTAGTGTTACTACCAATCAATTTCACCGTCAGATCGATTATATTGATCCAATGGTTATATTTATTTTCATCTTTATATGATTATGATTCCCCATATTTAAAACTTTTTATTTATTTTCACCTTTTATGATTTCCTATATGTAATACTTTCACAATAAATATGAGAAATCATAATCATACAAAGATGAAAATAAATATAACCGTTGGAACAACATAATCGATCTAACGATGAAATTGATTGGTAGTAACATTAGTAGTAACACTAATTGATTGTTACAATATTCTACCTCTATAAATATTAGGATAACATTTTCTTTACAAATACTATTCAACTCATTATATTTGAACTCTTATACATTAGTCTATTATAAATAAGGGATATATTTTTCTTATGTTGTAGAAATAAAAATATAAGTGAGATCCACAGATAAGAGGAGAGAGAAAAAAAGTGATGGGACCCAATCCCTTTTTGTGAGTGTAGAAAAGTTATTTATCTCATGTAAAATGAGATAAACATAACCCTATAAATAATGGGTATAACCTAACAACTTTTATTGCCATTTAATACTGTGATTGATATTTGTTCTTTTAAAAAACATAAAATTATGTTATTTTAAGTGGAAAAAAAAAACGATATCGTTTCATCTAAAATGATATAAAGTTATGTCTTTAAAATGATAAATATTTTTTTCTATTATTTATACAAGAAAAATGTTTGTGTTTTTAAAGGATGATCATTTTAGTTAAAACTTACCTTTTTCTATTTAAATATTAAATTAAAGAAATCATTCGCTTTCTTCCCCTTATAATTTTCGTTATGTATATTTTTCTTTCACTTAAAGGGATAAATACCAAACCCTATTTATATTTATGTTTTATATATTAGGTTCATTGATTTATAGAGATGTGGCTCATTTACCCTTTCGTTTAGGTCTTTTCCTCCATATTTAAAGTATATAAATTATATTAAGTATTTCAATATTTTGAATATTTAATTATAGAAATCATTCATTCACAATTAACACAGATTAATTGCATTTGCGTTTTTTACATACATGAATACATTTATGCATCAAGGTGTCCTTATTTTAAAAAATATTAGTATTTAATCTTATAGTTAATCATATTAATGTATTTCTATATTAAAAAATATATATAATTTTATGAATTATTTCGTATATTTAGGTATAGGATGTATTTGTGCACCTTCACCGATTGTCACTAAAGAATAACATGGCCTCGTTATGGCGCGCATGCGCCAAGCTCTCTCTGGTTGCCTCCGCCGCTGCCGGTGGCGCCACCGCGGCACTCATTGCCACCTCCGATGACCCCGAAACAGCGCTGAGGCTTTGCACCACCGTCCCCAACCGCCTCTTCCGTGACGCCGTCACTGTCGCCAACATTGCTTTCGGTACTGTAGATCTAACCGAATCTCTGTAGTTCCCGAAGTTTCTGTGAATTTACGAACTTCCATTTTTTTTATTCCTTCTCTCCTTGGAGTTCAATTTTATTTCTCAACTCATTGGTTCATGGATATGAATGCTGAAACATGATTAGGGGTTATGATAATAGAAATTGTTGAAAATTGACGTGGATTGTATATACTTAAGGCAAAAATAGTACAAGAATTAAATTTGTATATGATTCTTTATCTGAATTGTGGATTATGATGTGTGTGTGTAGGTTAACATAATTTTATGTAATGTGAAAATGAAGCTAGGATTAATGGAGCTGGTTCTGTTTTTGTATTATTGTTAGATTATGAATATTCCCTATGGGGAATTGCGGAAGGAAGTAGTGAGAGGGAGAAAGTCAAGCGTGAAGTTCACCTCCGGTCAGCACAAAAACTTCAAGACCTGTGTTTTAAGAATGGAGGTGTTTATATAAAGCTTGGACAACATCTTGGGCAGTTGGTATACCTTTTTTCTTTTCTATTGTTTTTGAAGAGGGAAAAAAAAGAAAGATATGCAGAACACTGACTTTACTAATTGCCATTGTCCATCTATTGCGCGCACAAAATGCAATGCTGAGTTCATTTATTTATTAACAGGAATACTTAGTTCCTGAAGAATATGTTCAGACAATGAGGGAGTCTATGCTAAATAGATGTCCAGTTTCTTCATATGAGCAAATATGTGAAGTCTGCAAGAAAGAGCTTGGGGACACACCGGATAAAGTATTTATTATTTGTTTTTTTTCCTTCTTGACAAATGCGGAAATGCCTCATTTTTGTCTAGTAGTTTTGTCTGTCATGGTTGTGGTTATCGCTGTTGAGGTGGATGAATTTTGCTTTCTAATGTGTAGATATATTCTGAGTTCGATCCAGTCCCAATAGCAAGTGCTTCCCTTGCACAAGTACATGTAGCCCGTACACATGATGGACAAAAAGTTGCTGTGAAGGTTCCAGTTGTTGCTGCTTTTCCTTGGTCATTTATTATTGAGAGTATTTTGGATCAGCTCTCTTCTGCATGAATAATAGTATTAGTGTTCTATTAAGAATATTTATTATTCATTTATGTGCTATCTCTCAATGTTCAGGTTCAGCATAGTCACTTGACTGATACTGCAGCTGCTGATCATGCCACTGTCGAGTTGATTGTGAACACTCTGCATAGGTTTTTTCCTTGTTTTGATTATAGGTACTGCTATAATGCTACTGGCTGTTAGGAATTAGCAGCATCATGACTATGGGGTATTTAGAAGCCATCTAGATCAGCAACATGCTAACCTTAACTGATGGATGTGCATACATTTAATTATTGAAAAACTGAATGTTCTAAGTTATCTCTATATTAAGAGTTTTTTTATCTCTAGTTTCCCTAGATTGCTTTGCATTGATGGTTTATTAATTTTCTGTTTACTTCTATCTACAGATGGTTGCTTGATGAGATCAGTGAAAGTTTACCCAAGGTAAGTTGCGAGTTAACTTCAAAGCAATACCTATGCCTAAAAGTATATCCATGTTTATTTAGTGGTTCTTGCCTGGTGGACTAGTGGTTTATATGTCTTACTATTGGTTAATATTATTGCCACTTTTTTTACTTTCAAAATTGACTTCATAGTTGATGAATACTTCAGTATAATTTTCTAGTCATTTAATTTTTGGGGTGAACAAGTTGGTATGCAGTTAAAATTGTTTGACCAAGAGTTGATGGGAACCTTAAATACATGATAAATACAGTTAAACTATCATTCTACAACTAAAGTAATTTGTCTTTTTCCTTTTAACAAGCCAATCTATGCATGTTGAAGGGATTGTTGAATCAATTAATCAATGTTTTCAAAGAAAACCTAAGCTGGAAAAGCATAAGTTTTTATGCTTGCCTTTTCATCGCCTACATAAATCATGTAGTGTAAAAGCATTACTTCTTTAGTTGGATTGAGAAATTTTCCTTAAAACTATAGTGCATTCATGCGCTAATCCTCCAATATATTTCATACCTCATATAAGCTCGCTTTTCTCTTATGGTCAGGTTTTCATGTCAAGATGGTAGTTTATCTTCATTTTCTGTTTCTGTTAGTTTCCATGAATTTTTGTTTTTTTGGTCTTTGGGGCCTGGAGGCAGGGATTGAATTAGATTTATTTGGTTCCATTATATACTGCATTAAAACCTTGATCTCTTTTTTGGTAATTGTTATTAAAAAATTTACGTAGTTATATTGTTAACCTTATTATTTTATATTTGAATGTTTGAGAATCATTTATAAAGGGAAAACCCTAGAGCACAAGGCTCTTGACTTGTGAGGGTTGATTGTATGCAGTCTTAGTGTAGCATTTTTGCAATTATGCTATTCTCATACTCGAACCCGTGACCTTCCGCCGGTCACAAACAGAAACCTTATCGCTTTGAGAATCATTTATGATATATATAATTTTGACTCAAGTCATAATTTTTCAAAAAGTATAGTCGTACCTTCATTGATACGATTATGAGTTATAGTATGCTAGCATGACTAATATCTGTTTTAGTCAGAAATTTTGCTTGATATATGTAGGATTTGGGAATTTCATGTTTCTTATTCATGATTCTTGGGTTCTATTTTATTATCTCCTTCATATTTTCCCTTTTTACCAGATGATTTGTGATTTGGTTTATTAATATCATGGCTACCAGGAATTGGATTTTTTAAATGAGGCAAAGAACAGCGAGAAGTGTTTGGAGAACTTCCGAAAGTTGTCTCCTCATATCGCGAATTATGTATATGCACCAAAAGTATACTGGAACCTAAGTACCTCAAAGCTGCTAACAATGGAATTCATCGATGGTGCTTATGTAAATGATGTAAAGACCATTCAGAAACTTGGGATTCGTCCACATGAACTTTCAATGCTGGTAAGTTCATGTTTATGGACTTCATTATAGTCTATAGATGCTTGTACAATGATCGATAGTTGGTCTTGACGGTGCCTAGGTTTTTTTAGCATTATTGGTTTTATGATATCTCTGACAACATCTGTCAATGAAGTTGGGCAAGTTTATGATGAGTGTTTTGAGTCCCTCATGCAATTGGTACCCTTTATGGTTTATCAACAAAATAAAGGGAAGCTTGGTGTCATAATGCTCTAGCTATGTGTGGGGTACGGAAGGGTCAAACCCACTGTGTGGGTATATAATTATATATAGTAAAGAGCTTTACCTTGCATCTTAAAGAGGCTGATTTCAAGACTCAAACATGTGATCTCTTGGTCACACGGTGACTTGGGCCAAGACTCCCCTTCATTTTATTTAGTAAAATGTGATCATTATTTTTGCAGGTTAGTCAGACTTTTGCTGAAATGATGTTCAAGCATGGGTTTGTGCATTGCGATCCGCATGCTGCTAACTTATTGGTTCGCCCATTGCCTTCCAGTAAAGGTAGCATTCTGGGTAAGAATTCCTTCCCTTGCCAAACTCAACTCTTTCTGTAAGTTTTGAATGTCCAGAAATAGCCTTTGTTTTGTGTTTTTTGGATATCTTAGACTATTTGTTTGCTAATTTAGCTACTACTTCAAAAAAAATTCTCTTAAGTTTCTCCCCTAGGTATGAGGGTCTCTACCCTAACTAATTGGATGGTAATAGCACAACCTTGAACCAACTAAATTTGGCTCTTCCAGGAGAAGCTTTTAATTGCCTATACCATATGCCATGAACATCTTGAATCTAGTTTTCTAGAATTATGGTGGCAGTTCCATTGATTTGATTTGGGAACTTAAAATTTGTTTTAGATTTCCAAGGAAAAATCAATCGCACCGATTACCATTAAAAAATTCCATGATGGGGAATCATTTGGGGACTAGTGTAATAAACTGTTAAAACACAACTGGGGTATGTGGTATCGGTAAAAATGTGCAGTAATGTAAGCACTGATGCATTAGAATGAGGGAACCTAGGGGTTACTGGATATTGCAGTCACCAGACTTCTACAAGTATTGACAGAAGGATTGAAAAAGATAAAGAACTGCAGAAGAATGAATGCTATCCCCTGCTGCCCATTTAGATTAAGATTGAAAGTTGAGATGGATGTGTCCATGTGTGACATTATGAATTGAAAGTGATCTTATGCTGCAAAATGGTTATTTATTTTAATTTTTCATTTCGATTAAAAGATCTTGCTTTTCAATTTTTTGGTTGACAGAAATATTTAAGGACTGTAATAAATATTTTCTGATTTTGAAATTTATAAAATGGCAATTTCCATTTGCAAATACCGTATTCACGTTTCCATTCTCATCCATATGCAGACACCTACTGTCTCCATAAATATTAGTGATCTTGTCCCTTTGAAATTTTTGGTTTGTCTGCTCACCTGCAGATCTTTGTTTGGTTTTCAGAATAACTGCATTGTTGATATTCTATGATTTTCATTTTTTTTATTTGTTAATTCCGTTTATTTATTTCTTTTCTCATGTATAGGCAGAAGAAAACCACAGTTAATTCTTTTAGACAATGGACTCTATAAAGAGCTTGACTTCGACACAAGAACTAATTATGCTGCACTATGGAAGGCATTAATATTTGCTGATTCTAATGCAATCAAGGAATACAGTGCAAAGTTGGGTGCTGGGGAAGATTTATATGCACTTTTTGCTGGAGTTCTAACAATGAGACCATGGAATAGAGTTATTGATTCATCTATGGATCATTTAGTTATAGAGGGAAATGAGAGTGATCGATCAGAATTGCAGGTAAGATGGTTTAAGGGAAATTCTTTCTCCAGGATTTTGTTTTTCAGTCATTGGTTCATGTTCTTTTGGATGATAATTCTTGCACTTTACTTCTCTGCCTTTTAACATTGTGAATTATTTCATACCCATGTTCATGCTAGTTTTCTCACCAAAGGACTCAAAATTCATAATTCTTCTCTTGTATAGCCTGTTTTCTGCAGTTTAACCTGTTTTATGGAATTGTTATATTACATCAGTTCACTTTTTGCTAAATATAAAGTCAACCTGTTTTAACAAGATAGAGAGATGTTCTGCATGGTTGAATTTCCTTGCTTAGCATTTTAAATAGTATTTAAAATAAAAACATCCTTGTATGCCAGGCCCCTGAAGAAAAGAAGCAATGAAATGACTCTCCTAATTGTTTTGCAGATGTATGCTTCTCAATATTTCAATCAAATCTCGGAGCTTCTAAGGAGATTACCGCGTGTGATTCTTCTAATGCTGAAGACAAATGACTGTTTACGTGCAGTCAACAATTCTCTGGTACATACCTTTTCTCATGTTTTCCATCTACTGCATCACACAGCATGTGATTGATTGATGAATGCTCTTACAAACAAATGTAGCTTGCATCTAATTGTAAAATAGCCATTCCAGCACCAAGTAAAAATAACTTTTGAGAATGTCTAAGTTGCTGTTTCTGTTTATAATGAACTCTCTGTCTCTCTTTTGTTTTTTTTATCTTTATTAGGTTCCGGGATCATCTCTGGAGACATTTTATATCATTGGAAAGGTTTCTTCTGAGGCTTTCATTGATTCAAAGATGTCGCAAAGCAAGTCACTTTTAACTTGGTTTAGCGTTAAATTGGATAAGATTTTGCTGGAAGTACGTCTTTGGGGAATGCAGATGGCCTTGTGGCTTTTGCAACTAAGAAAGGCATTGGCTTGGTCTAAACAAAGATTATAAAGGACGTAATCTGCCTAATTTATTTTCTGCTACATTTTTTGTCTTCGAAAAATAAGCTCATATTCTTTGTCTCCGTGGTCAGAAATTCCTTCTCAATCTGGACATTTGTCTGAGCACGGATTGATAATTAATTTTTAGCATGTTTGGTTTTGTGTTGAGAACCGCAAAACCATGGTTTCGCTTTCTGCCAAACCGTGATACTAGACTTTTCAAACTTAAACCAAACATGCACTTTTATAGTTTATTTATATAAGGTTAAGAGAGCATGGAAAGGAGCAAATCATGCATTTGTTATAGCCTGTAAGCTTTACAGTATTCAGGTGTTCGTGAACCAGAATGTTGTTGTGAATCCCCATTGATATGGGAAAAGTGCATTGAGAAATATATATAGAATATTTTTTACATCAATTTCAATGGTTGCAAGTGTAACTTCTTTGATAGTTCGGGTGCATTCAAACAAAGCTCGTACCTATTTTACGCATTTTTAGCATTCGTAGATACTACACCCACTTATATTTGTTTACCCACTTTTATTTGTGGGCAAATTACAGTTAACCACCTTGCACTTAATTGTTTATTCAGAAGAACCATTCTGCGCATTCAATTAAAATAATTTACCCCTTTACCTTGTAACATTAATTTCAATACAAAAATATCTCTGTACCCATCCTATTACATTACTTGCTACAAACATGGTATTAAAACCAAGGCGTTAATAGCTCTCCGGTCATTGCAGATGAGAAAACGTGCAGCAACATTTATTTTTATCAGGATCCGGGCCTGTATCCTGATGTGTTTTTTTTTTTTTTTTAAGCCAGGATACGGCTTCGTATCCTAGTGTTAATAGTTTGCTGCAATTTTTCTCCTCAGCAGCGACAGCAGAAACGAGGGACCCTAAAACCAATACCTCATTGATAATATAACATTAAAGTGAGTTGAAAATAATTTTGTACTAAATAAATGATTCTTGCATATCATTTTTTCACACTAATCCTTATATCTTGTGCTAAAAAAGAAAGATAAAAATATGTTAGAATGAAATGTATGTTTTACTTATTTTATTATTCACCAAGAAAATTACACAAGAATAATAATGAGTAATTAACATTTTGAATCCATTCTATTTTCGTTCTCCAATCAGTCCACCTAAATTTTCACCTACTCAAACAAACAACCCAGCCTCCATGGGCAAAAATACACCCAGCCTCTCTTTCCTTCTTGGGTATAAGCCATACCCATATCCCATCACCAATATTAAATAACCACCACTAATGCTATTCTAGTTTCACAAATAGTGGTCCAGAGCCATCATTGTGGCTAGGATTCTTAGTGGTTTTCTCAAATGACATACCACCAAACCCATATTGCTGTACCACAAGCAGTGAAGAGCATGAACCAAAATCATTTGATGCCACCATGTCCCCTATAACTCCAAGTTCTGGGCTTTCAGTCTTTTGCATTAATTCTGACATAACCTTAGTGTTCCTACCTACCCCTTGTCCTAAAATATATAAATCATAGCCAATTTGGTCCAAGTCATGAAGGATTGTGGGAATATCTTCACCAAAATGTACTTCTTTTTCTGAATAAGTTATAGAGTCCTCATTGTTAACTGCCTTGAGTCTAAAGAAACTTATATACTCATCATCCAACTCCTTTTGCTTTTCATTGTCTAGTACTGCAGATAATAGCCCATGAGATTCAACCTGTGATGATGTATCTACTTCTACAGCCTCCCCACGCAAAAAAATCCGCACTATGGAGAGTTGGATCCCTTCATGCCTTGACATCTTCCATGCAATAGTTAAGGCTTCATGGTCATCAGGCCCTCCAATAAAAATCATAATGACACGCAAGTTGACTTTGTAAAATGATCCAAGACCACGATCAACATATATCCCCACAGAACAAGGTGCATCTCTCATGACATTTTGGTTAATGTCTTTAAATGCATTGTTGGTTATCTCTAGTACACCCTCTATGCTTGATTGTTTGTGAAAAGGAAGGAGAATCAAACTTGCTTGTTTCTCCTGTGCTACATTGTATATGTCCTCATGAATGGTTGAATAGGTGGACACAGCAGAAAGGATCTCTACCCTAGTGTTACTATTTTCCTCAGCATATGCATTGAAAATATTGGTAATGCTTTCCAATTCTTCTTGTGATTTGGTGAGGGCTTGTTCTCCAGTCTGCTGTTGATTGAGCTGATTTATATGAGCAGTTAAAAGGGAAGTAACATTTCCTGTTAGTTCAACAAGCTGAAGAGCAAACACACGTAAAGGAAACATTTTAATGGTATTGCAGGCTTCAATGATGTTGACAATTTCTGTGGCATGGCGAGGGTTGTGGACACAAGCCAAAACTCTGAGCTCTGCTTCAGCCTTTAAGTTCTGTATAGTCCTTCTTTTCTTTTGCTTATGTAACTTTCTAGGCTTATATATAGCGTTGACGATGAGAGGCACCAATAGGGTCATTAAAAGAACAGATGCAGTTATAAATGTGGAGGACTCCACACTCAAAATCTGAGAGAGAGGGAGAGAAAAAAAAAAAAAAATAGAATTATTTATTAACTATATATGAAGCTAAGAAATTATATATGAAGATGCTTAACTATATAAATCAATACCCTCTTGTCCCAGGCAACGTTGAGCAATATTAGTGGTAAGATGCCTTTGGTGTTCATAAGCACTCCAAGAGCCACACCATCTTGAGAAGGCATACCAAAGAAGCTAGTTGCTATTAAAGTGCTTAAAATCTTTGGGATGAATGACAATAGCAAAAGTGGCACCACCAGGGTCAAACCTTGGGTTCTCATAACATACATCATCTTGAGTCTTATGCCACTTCTAGCGAAGAACAGTGGAGCCAGATAAACAGCTCCAAAATCCTCAGACTTAGCTATCAGCATTTGAGTAAATTTACCACGAGGTAACATTATTCCATACACAAGAGCCCCAACAACAGGGTGTGTACCAAGGATATCTGTAACAAAAGCACATACAAAAGCTCCCATGACAACAAGGAACAACTGGTAATTGTCCCATTCATTCTGATTGGTTTTGTCCACTATTAACTGCACCAGATAGGGTCTTATTACAATGAAGCAAAAAAGGACGAAGATAATGGTGCTTAGCACGGAGTGGGTGGCACTTCTATCTTTATTGGCAAATGGAATCAACATTGCAAACATGACCCAATTATAGAAGTCACTAACCATGGCTGCTGTTAAGGCCACTCTACCTAGACCTGTATAAATGAGCTTGAGGTCTGCAAGGATTTGAGTAAGGATAGGAAAACCTGTTACACTATAAATTAAGGCCCAGAATAAATATGCTTCAGTTGTGTTGTACTGTGAGAAGTACTCAGCATTTCTCTTGAACTGTTTTTGAACCAAAGCATACATGCCACCCCCCATTGCCATTGGAATAATAGTGCCAGCAATAGCAATGCTTGTAGCCTTCTTTCTTGCTTGCAGGATAGTATCTAAATTCATTTCCAAGCCAGCAAGGAAGACATAGTAAACGAGTCCCACATATGATATGGTTTCAGTAGGTACAATTGACTTTATAGGCACGAGTTTCCGCATAAAATGGGTTGGCCCAAGTACTTCTGAACTGAACAGATAACCCGTCTGTTAACATTAATTACCCACAAATTGATCAGAATGAGGAAAATAAAAAAGTATTCTATATAACTCAACGGATGAATAGCTTAATTGGCAACACAGGTTAAGTAGAGTAGGGAAAGAATTCGATTCCCATCAAATGCATCTTTGGGACGGACAAAGAGCTTTAACTATGACCAAACCCCGACTCAGTATTAATCCCATAACCAGATCAAAGAGTTGAAATTTGTGGGATACCCGAGGGCCCGTTGGAAATTGACACACACAAATCAAGAAAACAGAAGAGAGAAACGGAAGAGAAAATCAACACAGAGGTTTATCCTGATTCACTCAATGTAGATTACGTTCAACTTGTCTGTACTATATTTAGTATGCAAAGCATGAACCATACCCAACAGGCCCCAGTTGGCTTTTTGCTGACTTCGCCAACAAGGGCCCTCATCAGTATGCGAAGTATGAACCATATCCAACAGGTCGTCTGGCTTGCCTCAAAGAAGTAATTAGAGTTGATATATCCGAAAAAAAAAGAAAAAGTATTCTTTATAAGACATTTTGTGCTTTTATGTAAGGGAAATACTACTCTCATTTTACATGAGGTAGTTATCTCCTTTTCTCTCACTTCGAAAATCGTGCCCCTTCTTTTTTCTTTTTCTTTTTTGCTTTTAAATAACGGACCCTACTTGGATTCTCTCTGTAACATGAGAGAACTACTCTCATGTTACATGAGAGTAATATTATCCTTTATGTAACTCTATAATACTATATGGGAAAACATTTTCTCCTTTTAAAGGAGAAAATGTTTCTCATGTTAGTGACACATTGTATAAGTGGGTCCCACAAAATAGTGGAAAGAGAAAAAAATTAAAGGTGAGACCCACATATGCTTTGAGTCACTAACATGAGAAAAAAATTTTCTTTAAAAGGAGAAAATGTTTTCCCATGCTATATACATAATAAGCTCTGGTTGATACATGATTGAAATGCATGTAAGTATATGAAAACAGAGTCATAGATTACCACATGTACTTACTTACCAAAATCTCAACAACAAGACGAGGTTGATGGAAGGGTCTTAAAATGTAGTATAAACAACGAGTGGTTATCAACGTTAAGGCAACTTGGGTTGCGAAGGAAGGAAGGTGAAAGAAAAGGACGCTTTCACTTTTCCATATTTCGTTTGCATTATTGATATCTGCCATGTAACATCCTTTCGTACCGTGTGGTATTTCATATTGATTATCTCCCATAACTTGCTTTCTTTTGATGTGCAAGTTGTTGGGAATTGAACACTTATGATGATATATCAATTGCCTTTTCCTTCTAAGTTATCTTCCTTTCTTCTTCTTGTTAATTCTGAGAAAAAGTTGAACACTTTTTGCAGCCAAACATAGATAATAATCATTTAATGTAAAGTTTATGATAAGGGAAATGAATGTAAATATATACGTAGGAGTGAACAGAAACAACCATCTCATGGTTGATGTTTTCAGGTAGAAACCTCATTACAAAAATTAAATTCCTAACTGCTTCTCTATTTCTGTCTCATTTTCTGTCAAGAAATTACAAAAACCTTAACTGATTCTGCTGTTAACCCCTACCTCTCTTGTTGTTGTTGTTGTTGTTTACTCATTCTACCATTTCACAAATAATTTTCATTAGTCATTCTCTGTTATTAATAGTTAATTACTATTACCAGGGGCTTACAGCTAACGTTACCAATTTAATTTTGCACCACCTAAAGAAAATTAAATTTAAAAAATATATACTAAATTAAATAAGCGAATGCATTTATTATTATTTAAAAAAAAACGCATTAAATAAAGGGTTCCCTTTTTGTCATTTGACATGACAAGAGCACTTTCCTACACACACAAATCAAGTGTGGGTCCCACGCTTAAAAAAAAAAAAGTCAAACCAAAATCAGGATACGACGCCGTATCCTTGTTGCAGGAATGAACAGTGTCATTCCTGCAACATGATTCTTATATTTCCCTTAAATAAAATCATCTTAACTGTCACATAGAAAAAAATAACTTAATGGTAAAAAAAAAGTCAGTACGTACATCTGTTTTGTTTTGTTCTTTGTACAGACATCTGTTTTGGTTTAAATTAGTGTTTATCCATTTCAGCGAGATAGCAAGACAACCACAATAATAATAATACCTATTTCGGATATCTTTCTTTTTAATGCAGAAAATTATTTGTTTATTTATTTAAAGGGTTTAATATCTCTGATATTATAGGAAATAAAATTATCTCTTAGATACGTAAAAGTGGGTGCGGCTATGTTTTCCTTTTCTCTCTTATCTCTTCTCTTCACATTGCCTTATATGAATTCTACACATTTTTTTTGTATGTATAGGATATGTTTTATCTTTTATAATATGATAAACATCCAACCTTATTTAAATAAAGGATGCCAATAAAAACAGCATAACTGAAAAAAAAAATGATATATATAGCCAATAAACTATGTATGTGTAGGAATTATTATTGTGGTTGTCTTGCCAAAAAATAATAATATATATAGCCAATAAACTATGTATGTGTAGGAATTATTATTGTGGTTGTCTTGCCAAAAAAATATATAGTCAATAAACATATGTTTTTTTGTTGAGTCAAGTCGGACCCTCAAGTCGATTGCAGAAGCGAAACAATAAAATACAAGAGGAGAGAGATGAAGAAGGACATAGACAATTTGTTTAATGTGGGAAAACTTTTTCCAATGTAAAGAAGTAAAAATCCACGGGACACTAATCCAAAATCAAATTTCCACTATAAGAATAATGGGTTACAACAATCAAACTTCTCTAATCTTTCCCTAGAGGTACAATCAAATTTCATCTACAATGGTGGTAATCTCAAACTTCCCTAAAGAGGTATCTTACTTCAAACTTCTCTCTAGAGGTATTCAAATTCTTTTTCATATCTCTAAACCTCACACACTATAAGCTTATATAGGGGAGGAAGATGATTCTAGATTTTCAATTATGGAGAGAAGTTGAACCATTCAAAGGATATGTCTCTTGAGCCTTGCACCTTCATTTATGGAGAGACATTAAACCACTCAACGGATGTGTCCCTTGAGCCTTGCACCAAAAATGGAGAGTTCCAACTTCTTGGAACTTAGCCAAACATTAAAGAATGAACAACTCCCAACATTGTTAACTTTTATGTATGCGTAGGTCATAATTCCATCTTCTGAGCACATCTTTGGCACTACCGGAGTATGTACTCCTTTACTAAAAGTAGAAAAAGATAATGGTTTAAGGAAAAATAACCATACAATGAAGGGTAAAATAGTAAAAATAATATATTGTTATTTCTAAATTAAGTAAATGATGCACTGAGTCTTCAGTACTCCCGTAGTATTAAAGATATTTTTCCCATTTTCTTGGATTTGTGTCACCATGTGAGCATATATTTCCATAGGAGGGGGCATGCCACGTGTCGCAGAGTTGAATAAACTAGAAGATGACCATTATAGCCACGTTTGTGTTGTGTTTGTTATGGATCAAGTCTAGACTATTTATAACAACAATGCAAATACAGCCCTTGCATATGGGTAACAGCCAGCACAACTGCCAAATGATAAATGGCTGATGACATTTTCTATGGTGTAAGTATAGCTTCCTAATTTTGAGACTGATGCAGTGTCTGATTGATGACGTCTACCATGTGCATTCTTTGCTGAAATTTAAGGGTAGGTGCCTCCTACAACTTAATAAGACTTGACAAAACAAAAGGTGGTTCAGTGGCCTGCACCTTCCTTAATTTAATTACACATTGAATGGCCACAATGATATTTGAACTATATAACCATTATGAATGGTGCAGTCAATTTTTATTTTATTTTTTATGGTCTTGAAGTAATTGTATGTAGAAGATTAGAAAGTAGCCACGTCGACTATCTAAAAGCTTTTCATTATTTATTTTAAGGGTTCGATTTTTCTGCAATAGCAGCAGAAAACAAACATATGTCGCAGAGACAAAAAACGAGACCTACTAATTTTTTTCTAAAAAAAAAAATACACCAGAATTCGACGTCGTATCCTGATAAATATGTGTCTATGGCATTCGATAATGTGTATGTCTTATCCTGCTGTCGAAGTGGAGAATAGGCTACAACTAACCGTCCAAAATAATAACATTATTTATTCATTAAATTATTTGTTTTTTTGTTAACCAATCATGTGTTAAAATGGTATGAAAGTGATTGAAAAAATTTATTCGAATGCCATGAATCAGTGATCAACACATGTTGATAGTAATATTTTACATTAACTGCAAGGATTTGAGATTGGATCTCATTTTTATCATTAGGAGTCATTTTAAAAAAAAAAAGAATGATGTCTCATTCATTATATATCCAATACTGATTAAAAAAGTTCCCTCAATTGAAACCCAAACAAATCATCTTATGAGTTTGGTACCATTCTATCAAACTAATGAAATTTGCAGATAGCTATGAAAGTATGGATCTAGTCTATTCAGCTCATTTTCAGTTGAATCATAAAATTACAAACTTGATGAATGACAAAGACTATAAAAAATATAAGGCTATTCTGTCACCAAATAACCAATCAATATGTCTAAACAAAACATGAATAAGAAAAACTGCAACATCCTGTGAGATCTGGCAGGCAAGTTGTTTCTAAATGGAAACCAGAAAAAATGATTAAAGTTGATAAACTAAGAAGCTAATCCCACTGAAATTCTCTATAAAAAGTCCACTCAGAAGGATTCAGTGTAGTTTTCCCATCAGCAGCAACAAGATCATATGGTGAGTCTTCTGCAAATTCAGTAGGCATGGACTTCCAGTGGAGGCATGGTTCCCAGTCAGCCTCCTTAAGCACTTTCAGTATCTCCTTCACCACAATTTTGCTTCCCTCAGCTGCTAAATGGATACCATCACTGCAAAATTCATTAAAAATGAGAACAAATCAAAGATATTTTAGGTAGATTTATCATTTGACATCATTCTCATTTACAAGTTAAAACTATTTGTATGTTACTAAATGGGCTGTTCTTTATTAATATAACTTGAAAAAGGGTAATCTGATGTATTATTGAATTGTATGTAAACTATATAAGGGGTTCTCTATTTAAAGAGATTATATGACCTAATGGGCTAAGCCCAATACAACAAATAAATAAATAAATAATATTATTTACAATACTCCCCCTCAAGCTGAGGAATAGATATTTATTATTCCCAGCTTGCTAGTAAGCTCTTGAAATCTGTCTGAAGGAAGTTCCCTTGTCAATACATCAGCTAATTGACGCCCAGTGGGAATATATGGAGTGGTAATCAACCCGCTATCAAGTTTCTCTTTGATGAAATGGCGGTCGACCTCAATATGTTTAATCCGATCATGTTGAACTGGATTATGAGCTATACAAATAGTGGACTTGTTATCACATAGCAGCTTCATAGGTCCCTCACATTTCATTTTGAGATCATAAAGTACAATTTTCAGCCACAATAACTCACAAATGCCTTGAGCCATAGCTCGAAATTCAGCCTCTGCACTTGATCTGGCAACTACATCTTGTTTCTTACTTCTCCACGTCACCAAGTTACCACAAAGAAACATACAATAACCAGTGGTAGAACGACGGTCAGTCACAGATCCAGCATAATCAGCATCAGTGTAAACTTCTAAAGAGAGATCGCCATCACGCCAGAATAATAGTCCTTTACCAGGAGTGGCTTTAAGATACTGAAGAATTTTCTCCACTGCCTGCATGTGTTTCCTTTGGATCGTGCATAAATTGACTGACAACACTAACAACATAAGCTAGGTCTGGTCTAGTATGAGCCAGATATATCAGTTTCCCAACTAGCCGTTGATATTGTCCTTTATCAACTGGAGGACTCTCCTCTTCATAACCTATCTTGTGAGTCTGCTCAATAGGAGTATTCGAGAGTTTACACCCAAGCTTTCCTGCTTCTTTGAGAAGATCAAGAACATATTTCCTCTGACTGATAAAAATTCCTTTGTTTGAATGAGCTACCTCTATCCCTAGGAAATATCTCAGTTTCCCAAGATCTTTAACTTCAAATTCAGAGGCTAGTTGTGTTTGCAGAATATGTCTCTCCACAAAATCATCACTTGTTATAATAATATCATCAACATATACAAGGAGCGCAGTGAGCTTCACATCTTGGGAGTGCTTAAAGAAAAGAGTGTGATCTCCTTGACTCTGTTTGTATCCTAAGGTCATCATAACCTTATTAAACCTCCCAAACCAGGCACGAGGTGACTGCTTCAATCCATACAAGGCTTTTCTTAATCTACAAACTTTATTTTCTCCGTCCACAGAATCAAAACCAGGCGGGATTTCCATGTAGACTTCTTCTTCTAACTCACCATTAAGGAAAGCATTCTTCACATCAAATTGATTTATATCCCAATTGTAATGGGAAGCAAGGGATAACAAGACTCTCACTGTATTCATCTTTGCAACTGGAGCAAAGGTTTCTTCATAATCAATGCCATAGGTCTGAGTGTAACCCTTGGCGACTAACCGAGCCTTATATCTCTCAAGAGTGCCATCAGAATTATACTTTAGGGCATAAACCCATCTGCACCCTACTGCTTTCTTTCCATTGGGTCTATCAATAACCTCCCATGTTTTATTTTTCTCCAACGCATTCATCTCTTCTTGCATGCTTGAGCCCAATTCTCATCTTTCAATGCTTCATTTACTGATTTTGGGATTAAAATAGAATCTAGTGCTGAAACAAAGCTTTTGTGCTGCACAAAAAGATTAGTAGAAGAAACAAAATGGGAGATAGGGTATTGAGTACAAGAGGAACAAGATTTTTTTGAACAAGATCTTTTCCCTTTTCTTAGGGCAATAGGTAAGTCATAAGAAGCAGAAGCAATGGGTAAGTGTAAAGAACCAATTCAACCCAAAAGCTTAAGCTGTTGGGTGAGGCTACATCAATGATTTTATATATCTCAACACGCCCCCTCACACGAGAGCCCACTGGACTTGAAGGGTGGACAATACACTGGCTCACCTACCTGTGCGAAGAGAGAAATTCCACTAGAAAGAAAGTGGGGGCGATGAGGATCGAACCCGGTACACCGAGGCTCTGATAGAATGTAAAGAACCAATTCAACCCAAAAGCTTAAGCTGTTGGGTGAGGCTACATCAATGATTTTATATATCTCAACAGTAAGTCATCAGAGGTATCAGAAGAAATAGGCAAATCATGAGAGACAATAATATTAGAATCAGAAACAGGAGATTCAGGACTTACCAGTAGTTCAGACGATTGAGGTTGCTGGTGAGACAGTATGGGTTGTTTCCTCCTCTGATATACCAATTCAGGTGTCAAAATCTTTCGTATCTCAGGTGTATTTGAAGGTTCTGACACACCAGGAGCAGACACACTAGGAAGAGGTGTAGGAGTAGACAAGGACGATCCAAACTCAAAGAAGGAAGGGGATGAGTCTTCTGAAGAACTATTCTCCCCCTGAAGATGAAGACCCAGGAAATAAGACTCAGATTCTTGAAAGGTGACATCCATAGAAACAAAAAATCTTCGAGTTAATGGATGATAACACTTGTACCCTTTTTTATCAGGGGTATAACCAAGGAAGACACACTTAAGAGCCCTAGGATCTAACTTACTGCGATGTTGTTTATGAACATGGACAAAGGCAACACATCCAAACACTCTTGGTGGAAGGCTCTGCAAAATGGGAACAGAAGGAAGTCATGGAATCAATAGGACGGGTATTGTTAAGGACCCGTGAAGGTAAGCGGTTGATCAAAAAGGCTACAGCTAACACGGCTTCTCCCCAATAAGAACTAGGAACAGATGTCTGGAAAAGTAGTGCTCTAGCAACTTCAAGGAGGTGACAATTTTTCCTTTCAGCAACTCCGTTTTGTTGAGGGGTATCAACACATGTGAGCTCATGAATCATTCCTCTGTCTGAAATGAATTGTGACAGGCGTTGGTTGACGTACTCAGTACCATTATCAGATCTTAGTCTTTTAATACACTTACCAAACTGAGTCTCAACCATGTGATGAAATCGAATAAATATCTCTGGTACTTCAGACTTGTCTTTCATCAAGAATATCCATGTTACTTGAGTACAATCGTCAATAAAAGAAACAAACCACTTTGCACTTGAAACACTATGCACTTTAGAAGGGCCCCAAACATCAGAATGGATAAGAGAAAAAGGTTCGCTGCTTTTGATAGTGCTAGAAGGAAATGACACTAGATGGTGTTTTGCAAATTCACAAACATCGCAATGGAAGGTCTCAACCGAATGATTTAGAAACAGAGAAGGAAACATTGACTTCAATAGACTGAATGGTGGATGCCCCAGACGCTTGTGATGGAGCCAAATCATAGACTCTGCAGTAGAAGGATGACGTGTCATTAATAACTGATTTTTGCTATCATTTATAGCATGTTCTAGAAGGAGATAATACAACCCATCCTGCTCATTAGCAACTCCAATTGTCTTCTTCGTGGTAAGATCCTGAATAACACAATGAGAAGGGAAAAATGTGATAGAACAATTCAAATCAGTTGTAAGTTTTTGAGTGGAGATAAGATTAGTAGAAAGCTGAGGAACATAAAGAACATTTTTAAGAAACAAGGAAGGTTTAATTTGAATGTTACTAGAACCAATAACTGATTTATGGGATTCATTAGCTACGGATATAGTATGACTACCAACAATAGGATGATAAGAACGAAAAAACTCAGTACGACAAGTCATATGATCAGTTGCACCAGAATCCAAAATCCATGAGGTTTTAAAATCAGTGCAAGAAGAGATGTAGAACGTGTGTTCTTACCAGACAAGATCAAAGAACGGTCAGATGACTTACACATATTATCAATAGCGGCTTTAAGCTGATCCATGGAGATGAGACAAAACAAAGCAGGAAAAGTTTTTGTTTTTTGTTTTTTTTGTGTGAACAGTACTGCTTGAACAGTGCGCGATGAACAGTGCCGTGTTTTTTTTTTTAAGCTGTTCCGGTCGTCTGATGAAAAAGAAACCTACGTAGAATGATAGATCTAAGAAAACAGAGTGAAACAAGGGTCCAAAAGGTCCCCGAAATTTTTTTTTCCGATGGCGGCTTTGTGGCGGAGAGAGGCAAATAGGGTTTGGTTTTTAAAGAAGGTGATTTGCGGAAGCAGAACCCTCAGAATCAAGAGCTCAGATATCAACTTGAAAAAGGGTAATCTGATGTATTATTGAATTGTATGTAAACTATACAAGGGGTTCTCTATTTAAAGACATTACATGACCTAATGGGCTAAGTCCAATACAACAAATAAATAAATAAATATTATTATTTACAATAATATATTTCATAAGAAATCAGAAAGCAGATAAACTTTGGTTTTAGCACCCGGATTGACTTTTTTATTTTTTATTTTTGAATCCTATTTCACATTCAAATTTTTTTTTTAATTATGATTAGCTCAGCTAACAAAGCTTGTAAGCAACCAATCCAAATGAACTGGAAGTGGAAAGTACTGTGGATTAGATACATGCTGGCAACAGATCAAAGAGCAATAGTCAGCTAAATAATGTTTTAGCTTCCATTATATTAGTCAACTAAGTCCAATTTAGTGAATTCCCCATATTGAAAAAATATCAAAGTTCCAGACTGCAAGGTAGAAGAAAAATCTTACCTCTCAGAAAAACATGTTCCACAACATACTGTTCAAGCACCGTTTCTCAACACTAAATTCTGATAGATGCCAGCCAATTAAATGAAGACACTAAATGTAAGAGCAGTCAAGAGTCCATATACATTTTAGAGTAAACATCCATTTTGGTCCCTGAAAGTTTGGGTTTACATCACTTTGCTCCTTGAAAGATATGTGACATCAATCTAGTCCCTCAATCATGGAATAGGTAAATAACCAATATAACCCAAAAGCTTGAGCTATTAGGTGAAGGCCGCATTCATAATTTTATATTAAATTTTTCTAACACGTCCCCTCACAGAAGAGCTCATTGAGCTTGAAGGATGGACAATGCATAGGTCCATCTACCTATGCTAAGAAACTCCATAATATTTAATTATTTATTAAAGCAATGGGGGAGGTGATGATCGAACTCATGATCACTTGATCACAAAGACTCTAATATCATGTAAATAACCAATTTAACCTAAAAGTTTAAGCTATTAAGTAAAGGCCACATTAATGATTTATATTATATTTCTCTAACAGAATATAACATCAAAATCATCCATGCACAAACCGCAAGATTAAGGGACTAAAATGATGTCAATCTTCCATGACCAAGGGGATAAATTGATAAAAAAATTTAGAAGACTAAATTGATGTCACTTATCTTTTATGGACAAATATGATAGTTTACTCTAAATTTTACGGATTTACAAACCCAGTAAAGGGAAGATGAAAATGACATATGTTACAACTTACAAGCAAGTGATCAATCCAGGTTTAAATTAATCAAAGATTGTATCTTTCAATATGCATTTAATATGTTATATGGAAGAATGCAAGGCTTAAACCTTCTTGCAAGGAAAGCAAACACAAGATACTTACAAGAGCTAGGGAAGGATTTGGAAATTTAACAATTAGATTGCAATATGACTCAGTTCTAAAATGTCATGGCATTTGGGAAAAAAAGAATGATAAAAGCAAGAGGTCAAGAAGCTTACGTAAAACAAGCATTCATCCAGTCATCTCTCTTCTGTAGTGCAGTAAAAAGATCAACAACTTTCACATCTAGTTCCCGGCATAACTTTATACCAGCTTCTGAATAGCTTCGGCATAATTCATTTGTTCTTACCAGCTCACTAAAAATTCCACTGATTAAGAAAGGAAAACAAATATCATATGTGATTAGAACTTAATGTGTTATCTGAATACAAGCACAGAGAGGAAAATATAAAAGAAAAATATCTTCAGGTTACCTTGTGTTTCCACGCACTTTTTCCTCATTGACAGGAGGACAGCTGAGAACAATGAGGCGTGTCCTTTCAGAGAGGCTCTGATAGTCAATATTCACACATTAAATTATGAATAATACATTCAATACTTCCCCTTTAAAAAATGCATAAAAGATAGTTGTTGTAGGCAAAAGATCATTATAATTAAGATCTATTTTTCTTCATTATTAAAGAGTTACAATCTGTTGCCATACCTAGATAACTAACTGCAAAATGCAACAAATCATTTTCACTATTCCTACCTTGATAACTTTTTTTTGCCATTTTATTTTATCTTATTACCCCGATTTGTTTGGCTTGGCACTGTTTCATAAAGACATGGAATGGATTAGAGCCACATTCACTTTGCCCATTCTTGAGAGTCCAATATTATCCACAGATTATATTTTCTTGACAAAAAATTTATATCTTAATTCTACAAACACATTGTGTTAAGATATGTTGTTCATACAAACTTATAAATGAATATAATGAACTTAAGCAGACTATTTTTCACAATTGAATACACCATTGAGTTATGCTAACCTATGCTAACGAGAATTTTGAGAGGAAACAACTTTGTAGAACCCTGAAAGGGTAAGATATACAACACGGTGATAGCTGGTTTAAGATCAAATGAGTTACGCATGTTTGTCATCAAAGGGCCCTCCTATAAGTTAACAGTATTTCCTCAAACTTCATATTTTAAAGAAACAGTTTAGCTTCCATATTTACAAAATGACGTGTTTAGTGCCCGATGTGTCTGAAAGTGAAGATATATCTGTCTCCAATGTAAGGTAATGTGCAATTATGGAGAAAAAACCAGGTGATTAAGAACAGAAGTACCTGAATATGAATCAGAATCTTTCTCATGTTTTCAATATATTCATGAAGAGGCACATGAGGGCCTAGGCCAGATGAGTGAGGACCCATGGAATCATTACCTCCAAAATAAACTATCACAAGAGAAGGCTGTGCAGCAGCATCCTGGGAAGTGAGATAAAGAAGATTATATGATGCAGGCAGGATAATGTTATAATGAAATCACATAAAAAGTTAATAAAGAGATAGCATGAAATATATATGGATGTATGATAAGCAGAAGAATCCCAATTCCATGGTTCCAACATTATCCTGTATGAAATTATACAAACAACTGCCTATATAGAGCTCCTGATCCTATGCAAATGTAAAAATATAATTCCTACACAATGGTGCACTTGTGACACTACTAGAAGAGCATATATGCAACCAGGGGAAAATTCGAAATTGTTCATCCTAAGTTCGTATCCAGCTTTTTTACCCATAGAATAAACCCAATTCGTTAGAGGAAAGTTCCACAAGCTTTGATAGCCAACACAACAGGGAAATGCAATGCAAGGCTATCAATGTATTGTAATTTTGTTTTTCTATTTTGCCAGATGTGGATTTAGGTTTTACCGATTCCATTACATTAAGCAGCTATTGGAGAAAGATGCGTTTACAAGCTTTTTTTTTACAAACTTACAAATTACACTATGTCTGACCGGTAATACTCTACTCAAGAGTGTATTACCAGTCAGACATACATAGTGTAGTTTGTAAACAAAAAGTTTGTAAATATAATCTTCCTTTATTTTTTTAAATAAAGTATAATTATTTAATAATGAATTGAGAAAGTATCACTTGAAAAGATATCCTCTGGGGACATAAAAATGCATAAAGAACCAACAAAGGAGAATATATCATTTTAAGAAATTGTGTATTTAACCCACAAATCATTCAAAACTACAAGATACATCAATCAGCTATAATGAAGAACACAAGCTGCACCAAAAGCAACATTTTAGATTTGAAAATATTATCTGCAATATGAATAGCTGCTTTTGAGGTAAAATACCTTTGGGAAAACTTGATTGAGGACTTGAAGGGCACGTCTTGAGTTCCATCCATAGTAACCTCGTAACAATATGTCTGCCTACAATGAGTACTTTTGCATCAGCATAACTAACAGATGACAGTCCTCCTTAACATTCCTCTAGAGGAAGAGAAACAAAAAGAAAAGAGTTCATGATAAGGATACACTCCCACATAAGAGGGTGCATGGATACTTAGATTACCACTTTACATATATACACTTACAAAATGTAAATGCCAGTATGCAGTATTTGCACAGGCTTTCAACTTAGTAATCATTTAGTGCATCTTTTTGAAGAACATGAGGAAGGGTAAAGTATAAAATTGAAGGAATTGACCAGGACAGAGACATAGCTGTAACCAAAATGGAGGTCGACAAGAAAGAATTTGTAAATTAAAACAATTGAATAATTTCTTTATCTCTTCAACATTTCATAACTGAACATGATAAATGAGGGAAGAGTACCATAAGTAATAATAGCAAAACTTCCAAAGAAATCAATTATGACGTTACACTTGAAGCTTAGCTTCATCAACATAACTCATGCTCTGAAGTAAGGTTTATTCAAATTCATTTATATGTTTTGAAAAGTATACACAACCAAGGAGACAAAAGTTGAAGATGATATTTAAGAAAGAACAGGATTACAACAATTTTTTTCATAGTAAACTACCATTTTAAGATTGGGTTGCATCAATTTGGTCTTAGAAAGACAAGGAACATCAATTTAGTTCCTCAATCTCGTGGTCTGTGCACAGAAGGATAATTTTGATGTTACTTTAGGGACTGAATTGATATCACATATCTTCGAGGGATCAAAGTGATATCAATCCAACCTTTCAGGGGAAAAAATAGATGTTTACTTCCTCTTATTAGTTACAAAATTTGAAGGTAAGATTAAGAAAGTATGAGCTTTGAGACTCACAGGGAATTCACATAAACCAAAAGTTTTCAAAATTAGTTTTACATAATTTTTTTTCTTTTATTAAGCATGGCCCCAAAATATAATATGATACAAAATGAAGTGAAGGGTACAATGTAAACAAGTATTGCCCAAATATAAAGCCGGTGATTGGAAGCATCAAGATTATTATTATGATGGTGAGTCCTCAAATCATGCATGTGTGATAGAGATTAGAATATAAAATCAAGTAACATTTTTTAATTGAAAAATTGCTATGCACCCATTAGAAGAGATCAAGCCCATGAAACCCTCCATTCAAAAGTGAAGATTTTTGGTCTACCCAGAAAGCTTATAACATTTCAAATGCAAACCAATGAACAATCTTATGAGTCAACAAGTTAATTAGTAGTTATTACCTTACGAGAGTATATGTCAGAAAGAATGGTACCCCAACCGCCATGGCTGAAACTTAGCTGAACGATGGAGGATCCAAAGAGAACAAACTGAGGCCTCGCAGGTCCAACCATGTCCCTCTCCCTCCCTCTCCCTCTCTCTCTCTCTCTCTTTCTGAGTAATTGAGGATTAAGATTAAGATTAACAAACAGAGACTCCGACAAAACAAACAGAAACACCAACTCCAAGTTCCTCAGCTCGTGGAGGATCAGCGAAAACTAAGTAGTACTAAATCAAAGTGTTTGGTTGGTTTGTTATGAATGATGATAATGACTTATTGCATGGCAAAATCGTTGGTTTATAATTCAACTCTCCTGTGTTCACACTCAGAATTACTCCCTACAGCCTACACCATGTCGTCACGTGGAAAATTGTTTTTCTTTTTTCTTTTTTCTACTCAGTTAATGTATGTATTACTATACATAGTTATTTTTATGATATCAAACTATTTGTTTTTCTTTATCATTGAAATAAATAAAAAATCATAAAATTATACTTTTACAATCATTTAATTTTTTTTCCCCATATTGCTTTGATGTCATAAATAAAAAATGATAGAGAAAGAAAAGAAAATAAAGGAGCGTTTGGTACAGGAAAAATTTTTATTTGTCTGTGAATCTCGATTTTTAAAAATATGATTTTTACGTTCAGTTTACGATAATATCTGAAAATTTAAAATTTAGAAAAATTTAATTTCCCGAGAATTCTTCAAAATCCCGCGTACCAAACATCCCTTAAAGAGGTATAATGAAGTCCAACATTACCAAGTAGGTCACAAAAACATAGAACTAGTAGATATTAGGAAACCACGAAGGTATAAGAATATAAAATATGTATGTATAGTAATAGAGTAAATGAACTACCTTATTTTATAGCAATTGAAAGAAAAGCAAATGGATGATCCACTTTTCCAAGAAATGAAAAGTTGGTGAGGGAGAGACAGAAATGAAATGAATGAATATTGAATAAGTACCGTAGAAGAGACATGAACATGATGGGAGTAGGTTATCCTTTATGACTCCATAATGAAACTACCACTTGACACAACTTGTTTCGGCAGGGAGTTCACCAAACAAAGCTGAAGGCATTTAAGATTTAGTAATGCTATCTCTAACACGAAATCAATTATGTTTACAATTGATTACTACTTTTGTTTTTGCGATTAATGATTTATTAATGTTCGGCACAATTTTTATTTGAAAGTCCAACAATTTCCTATTTCAAGACGCTAAACATGTGATCTCTCCATTTAAAAAAAAAAATACAAATTCACATTACTTAAGAATCTTTGTCACAAATTCACATTACTTACAATTTCACTCCTCCAAAATTCCCCCCTATTAAGTAGTAACACAAATTAGTTCGTACTTCATCTTTGTCACATGCTTTGGGTCTTTAATGCTGCAACTGGAGGTGTTTTTACTGATCAATGGTGCTAGCTTTACCCTAAGTAGTTTGTACTTACTTTTTCTTTTGGTTTGGGATTTGATTTTGTCTTCCTCTTTTTTTAAAGTGAATATTTGTTTTTTAAATTTGAATTTAACATTTATATTCCCTTTATATTGTATTTAAATAAATAAGTTAATAATTTCTATATTAAATAGTTAGATCTGTCATCTATCAATATATTATTTGTTCTAGAACAAAATTTAGGCCGCAAAATTATTACAGTACTCTCATCGCATCACTAAATCAGTGTGACGGGTCAATTAATACAGGGCAATGACGGTGATGCGTGTACGGAGGAGAGAAAAATAATTTTTTAATCCAAATGTCATCTTTTTAATGGAAGGCGCACATGTTACGAGTGTAAAAAAATGATATCCAAGTCAAGAAACTTGGTGTTTACTAAGAATCTCAGCATGCAAGAATCTTGAAGTATTCTTGTCTCGAATTATTATTATTATTATTACCTTATCAAACCAAAACAAACGAACTTATTGCGTTTTTGTACAGTTAAACCTATTTTTATTTAGTGCATTCAATATCATGGCAGACTGTATTTAAATAAATAAGCTAATGAATTTCTATGTTGAAAAGTAAGATCTCTGTAATTGTTACTATTATTGTTGTTGTTATAATGGACAAACTAATTTAAACCAAAACAGATTTACTTGTTGACTCTCTTTTTTACTCTCAAGGTGGTTTTAATTAGCGTGTTTTCTTTCAATAAGTGCACTCCCTTATGTAATTTAATTTATATTTTATGAATTTAATTTTTTTGGCGATATAAAGTAAAATTGATAATATAATAAATGGATTGACTAGGTGTTAGCTTTGAATCATGTATATTTTAAGAAAAATATTAGTCTCCTTTTACATAAGGTAACTTATCTCATTTTCTCTCACTTCGATTTCTGCACCTCACTTTTTTTTCTTTTTCTTTTTTCTTGTAATGGTGGGACCCACTTAGTTTCTCTCTACAACATAAGATACTTATCTTATGTAAAAGGAGATTAATAAAACCCATATTTTAATGGTTTAGATTCTGATTTATTTGGGCTAGATGAAGTGTGATATGCAGGTATTTGGACCAAAAAGAAAAATAATATGGCCCAATTTGGAAAAAGGTAAAAGAAAAGAAAGTCAATGTAATTTTACTTATAAATTTCATTACCCAATGCTTGTAGATGTTAAAAAAGGAAGCACTGACCAAGTTGATAAAAGCAAGGGACAAATTTGGACCATTGGATGAACGAAAAGATGGACGGCTACTAACTTTTGGATTTTTTTAGTTATTAGTTATTTTGTGGGTTGTAAAAAAGAGAGAAACCAGAATTAGATTCTTTTAGTCTTCGTTATGCTTTTGAAAGATTTTAAGTTCCATAAGAGTCTTCTTGAATTTCTTTGTAAAACTTGTGTGATCCTCTCCAAGTTCTTGACATTGAAGAGCATTGACAACGCATCTTCAACGAAGAAAGCAATGATCTTCATGCAAGCTGAAATCTCTACCCTTTCCTAGCTTTAGTTTAGGAATTTCATTTGCTCAACTACTGGTATGCAACTTTCACTTTGAGTTCTATTTTTTAGATATTTGATAATGCATGTTTCTTTTAGTTTAGATTTGCAATTATTACCTGCCCCACCCTGCCATCAACCCGCCAAAAAATGAGTCACCCCCCCCCCCCCCGCCCCGCTTTTGAAAATGGGCTGAAAAACTTGGCCTGCCCGCTAACCCGAGCCTATTTTGCACTGACCCGTCTTGGCCCGCCAAAAAATGACTCAGCCTGCCCCGCCCTGTTTGGCGGGTGGGGCGGGTAGGCCCGTCAAGCCGAGTCCGTTTTGTCGGCTTTAGTTAATATGAGTTTCTAAATTCTTTTTTTGGGATTCAAGATGATTGGATGATTCTTTTATTTTTTTGAACATTGTAATGTTTTATTTAGTCTCATTTGATTAGCAAGATTTCAATTTAAAGTTCAAGAAAATCATGGGAATGGATCTTGGAATATTTTTAGCATATCTGTGCTTGGGAAATCAGGTTATCTTATTTTGCTAATTAAACCCTTGAGGTTTGGGATAACCCAAGGAGGTTTTTGAAATAATTATTGAAGATTCAGAAGACTTTGGGAAAATACCCTTCTGAGGAACAAATCTGGAACTGGAAAGTTCTAGCTAAAATAGCCATCGTAGTTCAAATTCTGTGATTAAAGTGCCTTAGCATTGGTAAAATGCAGGAATGCAAATTTTTTTGGAAAATCCATGATTCAATAATTCTAGTATCTTATAATTGCTGCATTTGTTGAATAGATACCTATGTTATTTTTGTTAAATACAAGTTTGATAAAAACTACAATTCATTTAGTTCTAGTTCAAAAGGTTGGTCACTTACAGTTCAAGAAATAAGAATAGAAATTAAAAAGAAACTTGTAATGCTCGGCCGCTTCAAGAATCAATGATACCTATGTTATTTCCTCACTTGCACACTTCTTAGAAAAACTTCCTAGGAGGTCACTCATCCCAAAATTGCTCCAAGTCAAGCACGCTTAACTATGGAATTCTTCTGTTCCGGGCTACCGAAAAGTAGATGCATCTTGTTAGTATAGGTAGTACCAATTAATTCTTATAAGCTATCCCAAACTGTGCAGTCTCATACCTGCATAGTCTCTGGAATCCCTCTCTTTCGGGTGTCGATTCGATTCATTCGCTCATGTAACCCCCCGCTGGAAGCTTGTCAGGAGCCGCTCCTTGTCCATGCCCTTTCTCACCGACGATCACTCCTCGCCCTCGTCAGCGCCTGGGATGTTACATGCCCAGCTTCCGCCTGATTCGTCCTCGAACCACACCGTATTGGAAGAGAGGCTCTGCTCTGATACCACTTGTAACGTCTGGACCCTTGCAAGGATCAACGACTGTCCCCACACACTAACATGAGACTTTTCAGCGTGCTTTGTTCTCACTCGCACACTTCCCAGGAAAACTTCACAGGCGGTCACCTATCCCAGAATTGCCCCAAGTCAAGCACGCTTAACTATGGAGTTATTCCGTTCCGGGCTACCGAAAAGTAGATGCATCTTGTTAGTATAGGTAGTATCAATTAATTCTTATAAGCCATTCCCAACTATACCGTCTCATACCAGCACAGTCTTTGGAATCCCTCTCTTGCGGGTGTTGATTCGATTCATTCATGTACCCCCGTCGCTGGAAGCCTGCTAGGAGCCGCTCCTTGTCCATGCCCTTTCGCACCGGCGAACACTCCCCGTCCTTGTCAGCGCTCTGGATGTTACATGCTACATATGCATGTCTAAGCAAACATACAGAGGCATAAGTGAGCCTCCATATGGTCCTCATATATCAGTATTAACATTTCCCAGCCAGTTCCGCACAAGTAAATCCAGTCCATCTATACTAATTTGGAAATGTTAGACAACAAATAAACAGGTGAGAAATATTGCCGATAATCTTGGAAGTTTTTGAACTATAACATTTTCAGTTGTGTCTGCACGTAAAATCCTCTTCAGCACTAAATAAATAGTATACAATATATCAACAATTAAATAAAACAATCTCAATTATATTTTGTTATTTGCCCAGACAAAAAAGGGCGCTGATGGTGAGAGGTTAACATATGGTTAAGCTCTAAATCAGAGTAAGGCGTCCCCTACTATATAGCCTACTGATCCCGTTATTAATAGGAT